TATATATATATATATATATATATATATATATATATATATATATATATATGTGTGTGTGTGAGTGTGTGTGTGTGTGTGTGTGTGTGTGTGTGTGTGTGTGTGTGTGTGTATGTATGTGTGTGAAATACTTATTTTTATTAATCTCCTGCATGGGGAAAAAATAAGCCAAATATAACTGAAGTGTCAGAGGCAGCTCACACTTATTGCTGATTAGTTTGTTATTAGTTCAGTGTCTGTCGCCTAGAGCTGAATGTAACTTTTGCCTAATGAAAATAGGATTTAGGTTAAATAACTCACTTCGGCTAACATTAAATCAATACAGCTCATGTGTGCTTCAAACGTTCCTGTGATATATGTATTTATGTATCGCATTGCTTGTAAGAGAAACAAAATTCTGCAATTATTGGTATTTAAGAGAAAGAGAGAGAGAGAGAGAGAGAGAGAGAGAGAGAGAGAGAGAGAGAGAGAGAGAAGGACAGACAGCGACAGACATTCACAGCAGTTCGATAAAAATATCTCCTTCCCCTCACCATTCCTTTGATCCTGCGGTGATCTTCTCAGAAGCAAAGGTGACATAGGAACTTCCCAGTAACGGGGTTATTCGATCGTTCCAGGAGAGGATTTAATGAGTTCAAAGTTAGGGCAACCTTTTGCTTGAGGTCTGATCCTTTTCATTTTTTTAATTATATGTTCTATTACTGGATGAGGGACGGCCGACTGGAAGCCCTTCCGGGGAAGCAAGTCAGAGAGCGAGAGAGAGAGAGAGAGAAAGTATAGGACAGTAATGAGGTTATAATTATAACCATAATTTTTAAAGGGGTGGACTGGTAAGCTAGCGGAAGGCCTCAGTCAGATGACCAAAAACTCAACTGCGGATAGTCAAATGACTAAGGACCACGTCAAAAAACACTAGTACTGTTTTCTGACAAACCTTACCTAACCTAGGACAGTAACGGAATAGTGTTATATTTCTCATTCAGTCTTAAAAAATCACGTTTTTTGCTTGCTTTCGAAAGCATTTTACGAAACAGTATTAAAGCGAACATTCCAATCCCCATTGATTGGATCTAACAGTAAGTCACAACAATAATACTTCAGTTAAATGACGTGCTGGGATATCGGTGAACAAGAGACTTACTCTTCTATTGGGACAACATTTTGGTCTGTTTGGATGTGTATCAGCTGATAAAATTTTATATATAAAAGCGGAAACATTGTCTCGCTGAAAGTGCTCTCTGCAGAGTTTCTTCACGATAGTAAAGCCTAACACGAACGATCGGCTGAGGGAAATGTGTCAAGCGTATTGGTGAGCTAGTGAAGGGATTTTAATTTTGTGACAATTACAAATACGAGGCTGCCTCCAGGAGGTTTCGGGGGGGTCACCGCCTCCGCTGATCGGTCCCAGACCATGCCTAACGGCTAGAAAAACATATAGAGTAGGATTTGGCAAAATAAATGAACTAGGAGAACTTGCAGAGAAAGTGGAAATGAAAGAAGAGGAAAGGCGAGGAGGAAAGGCCGGCAACAGAATCAGGAAGATGAAAACTGAGTATCACAAACTGGAAGCTGGATGAAAAATGAGTGAGGTAAAAGTGTGAGAGAGGGAAAGGGGAAGAAGTGGGGTAAAAGCAGAAAAGTAGGAGAGAGAAAAAGCGAGAATGGAAGAGGGAAAGAGAAAGGGAGGGTAAAGTTAGAGGAATAGGATAAAGTCACAGTTGAAGAGGGAAGAGTTGACTGATGTTCCAAAAGTGAGAGGCATGTTGAATGACAGAGAGGGAAAGAGAGAGAGAAAGAGAGATAGAGAGTCTGACAGATTCAGAAGCGGAAGGCTATAAGAGAAGGGAGGCTTGAAAGAATATCCCTGTAAAGAACTTAATAAAAACCTATAGAGGATTCAGATTTCGGCCGTCACCATGTATACACACAACACATACACACACACACACACACACCACACACACCACACACACAATTATATATAATATATATATATATATATATTATATATATATATATATAAAATATATATATATATATATATATATTATATGTATATATATATATATATATATATATATATATATATATATATATATATATATATATATATATATAATATTATAATATATTATATGTGTGTGTGTGTGTGTGTGTGTACTCACCTAGTTGAGGTTGCGGGGGTCGAGTCCGAGCTCCTGGCCCCCCGCGCGCGCGTGTGTGTGTGTGTGTGCGCGTACGTGTGTGTATGTGTGCGTGTGCAATAAAATCACAGTATACAGGTGATATTACAGTATGCAAAACAACCACTATGAAAGAATAGCAAAATTCCAAGCGCTTTCGTGACTTCTCACATCATCAAGGAACTATAAAACAAAACATCAACAGAAAGACATATAAGGACAAGATTACACTTCACACTCGTGTTACAGCACCTGACTCTATGAAACACACCTGATACTCTACCCAAGCATTAAATTCTTCCCAAATTTCATTAATTGTAAATGAATCCAATTTATATAAACCAAAAGATATATTCATATAATTTTCAAAACTGCTTTTTATGAAACATGATTCTATTATATTCCTTTCGACTATGGACTTGCTTCATATAACTTTCCCAGTCTTTTGAAAATCCAATGGATGGTTAAAATCTCTCACAAGAATAAATAGAGCATTGGAATCTTGTCCAGTTCTAATGCTATATTTATGTTGTCTTAATCTTAGCTCAAGACTTTTACCAGTTTGACCATGATAAACTTTATCGCACATTTTACAAGGAATCTTATAGACACACCCGTCAGCCTTCTGGGGGGAATTTTCTATCAAAAGTTTTTTTTACAATATCAAGAAAGCGCTTGGAATTTGGCTATTCTTTCATAGTTGTTGTTCTGCATGCATGCATGCGTGTATATATATATATATATATATATATATATATATATATATATATATATATATATATATATATATATATATATATATATATATATGGTGGTGTGGATGACTCTAGGCTAATTTCATTCTAGTCCCTGTTTAGTGTACTAGTACAACGTTCAGTATTTTATATTATTGCGCCCATGAACAAGTGGTATTGATCAATGACAACACTCCGACTACCCAAGGACTCGAATGCTGCTTTGGCCTGCCTCATGGTGGGCGAGAACTCATGACGCCTTAATCCACGGGACCAAACAATCCTTAAGAGTAGCGCATCCAGCAGAACTGAATGTTGTACTCGCTACCCAAGGACATACTGTTGTCATGAGTTTTCTCCCACCATGAGGCAGGCCAAAGCAGCATGGGTTCGAGTCCTTGGCTAGTCGCAGTGTTGTTATTGATCAATACCACTTGTTCGTGGGAAAATAATATATATATATATATATATATATATATATATATATATATATATATATATATATATATATATATATATATATATATATATATATATATATAATATATATTATACGATTCCACAGCAAGATTGTTGGGTATATGACTCTTGGCAGAGAATGAAAGAAGAATAGATAACAAGACTGTTATGTGAAGGCTAAGTCGAAAAGACGAGGATGATAAGTACAGGAGAGTTCCAGCAAGGAAGATAGTAAATATTAAAGTAAACTGAGCAATTCAGTAAAGGCCACAACATACTTGTAGATAAATTGGGAGTAGGAAGACAATGATGGTAAAAGTAGAATTTAAAACGATTCTGTAATATGACCAATAGATCAAAAACTTCATATTTGCCACCTGGAGACGGGTTCGTGAATCATCGCCTCTGCTGTCAGGTGTCAAGACGAGGCAGACACCACAGCCCCCTTGATCAAAGTACTGAATGAAAAAAAAAATCAGGTTCCCTCTTCAAAAGTCAACTATGGTTTTAATTAACTTGAAGGGAAGGTGTTGAAAAGCATTAAGTTCTTTATGCTTATTTAGTTATCCTTAGTGTTTATCCAGAGTTGGAAGTGGGCCAGGATGGAAGCATATCGTTTACATTCAAGTGCGATATTACACTGCTATTTCCGGATTCTGGGGTAATTCTGCTCGATCCCAAGGGATTGTTTGCCCTACGATCCACTTGCGTTTGGTCCTTGTCCAGTTCGCTCTTGTGAAACTAATGTTCTGTTGCCTCAAAGTATAGAATATCCTGCTATAGACCGCAGTTAAGGACCCTCATTCTCTTCTGGTATTATACGTAGTCTATAAAAAAAAAACTTCGAAAAACACATCAATTCCCTCGGGTGTGTGCAGCCTCCAAGCTTTCCCGTGCAATCTTACTGAAGAGTCTGATGCTTGTCAGGTTACTTTTATCTGTACCATTTGGCTTTGTTTTGTAATTTGTTAAAATTATACATTTAGATATCATGAGAAAAGAATAAACATTCGGTAGTAAATGCGAGCTTATATGTAAATCGCGTATTAATGGTAGTTATATTTGCTTTGCGTCAGTTGATAGTGAAATACCGAAATATCTAATATATATATATATATATATATATATATATATATATATATATATATATATATATATATATATATATATTATATATATATATATATATATATATATATATATGCTTAACAATTCGCAAACAGGCAAAATTATTTACAAACATTGTCTCTACGTCCACAGCAGGACTCGAACCTGCTAACTCTGTATCAGAGTTCACAGTATTTTACCACTAGATTAGACCTGCGATAAGTAGCGCCCATACTTATCACAGGTCTAGTCTCGTGGTAAAGTACTGTGAACTCTAATACAGAGTTAGCAGGTTCGAGTCCTGCTGTGGAAGTAGAGACAATGTTTATATATATTATATATATATATATATATATATATATATATATATATATATATATATATATATATAATATATATAATATATAACACATCTTGAGGCAAACATTCATTCATACAGTTCATGTTGATCAACAAGTAGTCTATGGAGAACGAACAAATAGCGCCACCTATTTCCGGTAAGAGCTTTTTAATTCAACAGGTGACCATGTCGTTGAACCCTGACGAGTGATGAACGATAGTATGAGCGAGCGGGCTTGGCACTGAGTGTTGGTGTTGTGGTGGTGGAGGTGGAGAGGGACCTTAGCATGGGTGTTCCCATGCGTGCTCCAACACACAGGCCTGCTAAATTCAAGAACGCTGTGAGGCTAAAAAACTCAATCTGTATTCGGACTGAACACACTAAAGGGGTGCTTACCTTTTCCCCGGCGTCGTTCGAACCACTATCCGAGACTCCGACTCGCGATTCGAATCTTCTACTTCACCGTGCAAATGGTCCGCCGGGCAGGAAAACAATCTGCAACCCTGAGGTTCCGACGATTCAGAAGACAATAATAAAAATCACCGTCTTTTCTTCGGCCCAAGAGACCTTTTACCTCAATACCAGAGAAAAAAATATTCCAAAAGTTCTGGAAGAGGAAAAAACAAATTCTCCAGCACGTTTTTCCCAGCCCTCTAAACAGGCCATAAATTCGACAGCCTTTTCCAGGACTCGGCTCCACACGGTTTTTGGTTCTTCGGGAATTGAACGACTTTCGAGAGTAAGTCCGAAAATCAATAATTTAAATCTCTGGAAACCTAGCGACGTAAGAGGGACTATTCCAGCTCCTCGAACCAAACACATTACACAAAGCCACAAGTCATCCCATCAATGGACTTTTGACACTCTGGAAATTCACTCTCCAAACGCACCAGTAAAATCACAATTTTCCGAAAATATCCGTTCGGTGTCGCGAAGGACGTCTACCAATAGAGAAAGCAGCGATTCCTCGCCTCTTTCAAGGATTCCCGACTCTTGCACTGCCAATTTCTCGACTCTCCGGAGGCCGCCAGCTCCAGCGGACACTCATGCGGCCCGCCAGGTGATGGGGCCCTCAAGACCACGGTGGTGGAACCCTCCGAAACCCGGCCTCGTCAGGTCCCCTCGTCTGCGTCTGGTGCTGGTGGTGCTCCTTCTCGCTGCCTGCAAAGTGGAAGGTAAGTCGAGCAGAAGATCCTAGCCTTTGGAGCTTTTTCTGGTTAAGGTTTCTCTTTTATTTCCTTTCAACTTCTCTGCCCCCTCGTTTCTCTCTCTCTCTCTCTCTCTCTCTCTCTCTCTCTCTCTCTCTCTCTCTCTCTCTCTCTCTCTCTCTCTCTCTCTCCTCTCTCTCTCTCTCTCTATCTATCTCTCTCTGTCTCCCTCCCTCTCCCTCCCTTCCTCTCTGTAGCCTTTTTTATTTTTTTGAGCATCCTGACGGCCGGGTGTTGCTACAGCAAACAAACCCGGAGTTTAAAAATCAACAACTTTGTATTTTTTCCCTGTCGGGGTTTATGCTCAATAGAGACCTATCATGGATTTATACAATCTGACAATAGCTGCATTTAATGGCTTTTTTTGCTATTTTAGGACAAGAAAAACTTTTTGTTTTATTTGCAACGCAAGCACAAACTGTCTTTGTTGTTTGCTGTTTGGCTTCATTATATACGATTACGTTAAGGTTCCCTGAAGGTGATTCCAAGAGGGTCACTACCTCCGAGGTCCGGTTGTAGACCAGGCCTTCTGGATGATGGTCTGATCAAGTGGAATGTTGATACTGGTTGCATGTGATCCAGTGTGGACACCACAACCCGGCTGATCAGGAGCTGATTTGAGGGACTTATCCAGCTATCTCTTGACGGGGTGTGTAATATGTCAAATTTAGGGAGGTCTTTAAACTGGTAGAATGTTTCATCTACTGAAAAAAAAGGGCTCTCTCAGGTATATAAAAATACAAAAACGATGCTTTTTTATGACAGAATACAAAGAGTAATATCACACAGTAAAATCCAGCATAAGCGAGGTAAAACGCTCATTACTCCAAGGAACGGTCCTGGCGCCTCTGATGTTTCTTATCTTCATAACAGACATCGACTCTTAGGCTCTATTGAGTACTTTTCATTTCCTCAGTTAGTTTTTCCAAAGCGGAGTAATTGGAATTTGTCATCTATGGACATCATTTTTTTGTGACTCACTTAAAATCCTGGTTAATATCAGCTTTGAAATTTGCTATGTCCTCAATAGATTTCACACTCTTACAGTTTCTAATGCCAACTGCAAAGGATCTGTGTGGGATATGAGAAAGAGAAATGGGCCAAGTACTGTACATTAAGAAGCTGAGCGAGTCACTGAGACGACCTCTAATTTTATATTGTTGATTATTACTCTTTGTATCAGATTTGATAGAAAACTGAAAATTCATATTATTTTCGCTTATATTTATTCTTTTTCAGCTAATTTGATGTGTCATATTAAAATGGTCGAAGGCTTTTACAAAGTCTGTTCTATATGATTCACTTGTATTCTTTTTTTTTTCTTCTTCTTTCCAGTGAATCCCAGACCATTTTGTTAGTTGTGCAACTAACATAACTTATCAAAAGCTTGAAGATGCTTTGGGTATGAGACACCGCCTAGCTGCGGCTAGGGAAACATAATTATCTGGGTCTTGCTTGGTGATATAATGTACTTTGTGGTACTGTGTACTTTGACTGTTCTGGACTGAGTAATGATATTCGTCAATATGTTCCCTCATTTACAAATATGTATATATATATATATATATATATATATATATATATATATATATATATATATATATATATATATATATATATATATATATCAATAACAACACTGCGCTAGCCAAGGATTCGAACCCATGTTGTACTGGCCACTTCATGGTAAGCGAGAACCACATGACACTTTAAACCATGAGGCAGATCAGTACAACATGGGTTCGAATCCTTGGCTAACGCAGTGTTGTTATTGATCAATACCACTCGTTCGTGGTTAAATAATATATATATATATATATATATATATATATAATATATATTATATATAATATATATATATATAAATATATTATATATATAAATATATATATATATGGAACAGAAGATTTAAGAGATACATTTTTGATATAAAGGTGGCATATACGGTACATGTTGTTACGTGTGTATCACCGATTATAAGGCGAAAATCTCATCCAGCTCCTCAGAGCTGGGGCGCGTGCCCAAAATACATCAGGCATTACCCCTTTGAACAGCCGCACTGAGCCGCTGGAACAGAAAACCAACTGCCCTGGGATCCCTAGTTACCCGGATGAGTCTTTTTCCCAGCTCCTTAAGGAACTTAGATGCACTCTTTCCCCATGAGCCAAGGGTCTCTGAGCCTATGGGAACAAACATATAATGATGGGCAAGTTCTCCATATTTTCTAGACTTTTGGGACTCCCTGAAGCTGGCAGCTGCCCCTCCTTCCTCCCTGGTGTATTGGAGATAGGTATCAGCCAAGGTAGATGCACATGTATAGTCCCACACCACCTGCTTCCCGTCTGTCCAGGCTTGAAGGGTGATACCATCTGGACGCTTCTGGCTGCTATCAGATCTGCATAGCTGGGGTGGCTCACTTACTGCTGGGCATCTGGCTGTTGTGAGGCTCCTCTTGATAATGATATTAACCTCCTCATGTCTTGCAATCTTTCCCTCGGATTTACGGATTTACGGCACACAAGACCATGGTACCCGAATCGGTCTGCTGCTTCACTGCCACAAATACTCCTGTGTTCGGCGAGAATAGGGGCGGCAAGTCGAAGGGCAACACCGATGCGGATGGTCTGTGGGTCGAGGCGTGTGCCAAGGCTGGAGTTGGGAACAGCCAACAGAAAGTCCCCTGCATGAGAGGCTCTCACTGCCAGGAGGCAGGCTCTATCCTTCCCTGACACACTCTGAAGCATTGAGGCTATATTTTCCACTATTGGACCATCCCAGTGTGATTGTTTGTAGTTGTTGGGGGGAGCAGGTCTGGTTTCAGAGCCCGTTAGATTATCCCAGATCATGGCTCCGTCAATGAACTTTTGGTCCTGGACTCCAATCTTGTCCCTAAGATGTTCAGGGAGAATCGCTGCTACAAGCTCTTTGGATGCAATACATGAGGACAGAAAAGCAGGTAGCGCAATCTGTGATGACTTGCGGACACCAATGCATCCTAGTCTGACTGGAAGCATAGCTTGGTTCCACTGCCCGTCTTCTAGAGTAAGGTTAAGTACTTTCGTAAAAATCTGCCTCAGGATACTGTCATATTCGTGCAGTATAGGGTTATCATATGAAGGTGCACATCTTAGGAAATATGTCAACCTGGGCAGACTCAAGCACTTTGTGAGAACGTACAAGGCGTCGTGGGTGTCCAGATTACCTATACGTTGTTCCATTCTCCTTAACTCTTCCAATTTCTTCCTGAGAATTGTGTCAATGGTATTGATTCCCAGAGGTGCTCCTAGCAAGACACTATTTGTGGGGGCAATGACTGCTGCTCCTGGTAATTTTGATCTCACTGCATTTATCACTTGTTGACTGACTGAGATGATTTCACATTTGGATGGATTCAGGATGAGACCCATTTCTTGTCCCCGTGTCATTATCTGTGTAAGATCATGTAGGAGGGACTCCTTTGTACCTGCTAGTGTGCCATCATCTAGGAACCAGATGTTTAGCTCGCTGGTCAGTCTGACTGTGATTGCCCTAATTGCTATACAGAAGAGAAATGGTGCAAGAGGATCTCCTTGTTGGACACCCTCCGATGATGTGATTTCATGCTCTCCAAAGAGAAGCATTGCTATACCCAGCTGAAACAAAAGGGAAGAGACCAGGGAAATGTTCTTGTACTGTTGCTAATACCACGTCTCTTTTCAGGAGATTGAATGCATTCTTGAAATCTAATTTTACCACTGCATTGTCCTCAGGCAGGTTGTTTATATACGCCCTTTTTGCATGAACTGCTGCTTCACTTCCTTGAGAGACCCCAAAGCCAAGCTGGTTTGGTTGAAGCATCATGGCTGCCTGTGCACGAATACTTCGGACAGCAGCTTTGGATAAGAGGCGGCGTAACGTGTTGCCTACTGCAATTGGCCGAATTCCTCCATCCTTCTTTTTAAGTGCACAAAGTGTTGCACCAAAAAACAAAGGTCTAATTTCATCAGGAATCAGACCAGCCAAGGAATTGTTGACGAACCTTATGATCTCTGAAAGCAGTGTCTCTGCAATTTCCCCAATAACTGGATTAACCATTTCCTTTAAATGCTGTGGCCTTATTCCAGTGTAACCCCCAGCAGAGCCAGATGGGAACGATATTATTGCTTTGTAAATGTCTGAGTCTTCCACAATCAATGGTTCCACAGTGGGGACAGAGGTGTTGGAACTGTTGGTGCCCCTGGTTAAGTCATAGAATTGATGAGGGAGAAAAGGTGAGTGGTGCATTGAGGTATATGTGGAGTCAAAAAACGTTATGGAGGCAAAGAAGGGAATGTATGAAAGTATAGTAGTATCAACACTCTTATATGGATGTGAAGCTTGGGTGGTAAATGCAGCAGCGAGGAGACGGTTGAAGGCAGTGGAGATGTCCTGTCTAAGGGCAATGTGTGGTGTAAATATTATGCAGAAAATTCGGAGTGTGGAAACTAGGAGAAGGTGTGGAGTTAATAAAAACATTAGTCAGAGGGCAGAAGAGGGGTTGTTGAGGTGGTTTGGTCATTTAGAGAGAATGGATCAAAGTAGAATGACATGGAAAGCATATAAATCTATAGGGGAAGGAAAGAGGGGTAGGGTCGTCCTCGAAAGGGTTGGAAAGAGGGGGTAAAGGAGGTTTTGTGGGCGAGGGGCTTGGACTTCCAGCAAGCGTGCATGAGCGTGTTAGATAGGAGTGAATGGAGACGAATGATACTTGGGACCTGACGATCTGTTGGAGTGTGAGCAGGGTAATATTTAGTGAAGGATTCAGGGAAACCGGTTATTTTCATATTGTCGGACTTGAGTCCTGGAAATGGGAAGTACAATGCCTGCACTTTAAAAGAGGGGTTTGGATATTGGCAGTTTGGAGGGATGTGTTGTGTATCTTTATACGTATATGCCTCTAAGCTGTTGTATTCTGAGCACCTCTGCAAAAGCAGTGATAATGTGTGAGT